TTGGAATCTTTCATTAGTTGAAGCCCACCAACATGTTCATCTTGGTGCAAAATTGTAAGGAAATCGCTGTCTGTGTGGGGAACAAGTCCAAAAACCTCTGGAGAGATGGGGCATGAAGGGTATCGGTTCAGCCGCATGAAACAGGTGCTCTCATTACAGTTGTCTTCCCACAAACTTCGTCCTCCACCCATATTCATCACAAGCACTCGGGCTATGGACTTTGCAAGTTCTTGCATTGCATCAGCATATTCTTGCATCACTTCCCTGTGCATTAAAAATCTTAGCTAACTATATATTACTTTTATTCGTTTGTAAATTGTAATCAAAATAACTAAAGTATAATGATATATATATTCCAATGTGGCTTTGTCTCTAATGGAAACATCTTGTCAAGTGGTTTCACTTTATGTGTAAAGGAATAATATATTCTTTTATTCCATTAATTTTAGCCGTTTATAAAATATTACTTTTCTTTCCCAACTTCGATTCTCTCAAAAAAAAATGTTATTCTAAGAACAGTTGGTTTAAATAAGTATTACTACTATAATTCTAATTCATCATAACAACAAAAAGTTAGAAGAATATTAGTTTTTAACTTATATAAATCCAATTTAAATGAAAATTATATAGTAAAACCGACAGAAGAATTATTTTTCCCATTTTCGGGTAATGCGATTATCTATTTCAGGAAAAATACTATTTTATTCTTCAAATTCTTCTTTACAGGTATAAAAAAAAACCGCAAGTTGTAGTTGATTAAACATTTTTAATTAAATCATGTTTAACCGCACCAAGTGTTCTAATTCTGGTTTTTCAGTTGCATTTCCAGAGAATATAGAAGTGAAAATTTTGACTTGAAACCTGAAAATCTATCTTAAATCGTTTTATGCACAATGTTGTTAGACTGTGCTTAGGTGAAAACAATGGGGGGGAAAGAGGAAGAACGATGATGATAAAAGAAGGGACTAATAAATGAAAGACAAAGCAATGCTATTGCTACCTCAATGAGCTGAACTCTCCATAGCAAGTTTGATCAGAAATCTTCGAAAGTGGAACATGAAAAGCTTCACACCATGATAGTTGTTTTGGACACGTAGCAGTTCGGTTTCCCCACCTATACGAATTATCAAGAAGCCCGGAAGCCATTTTCTGTTCAAATGGTGTTTTAAACAACTCAACCTGTACCTTTCTCATCCTCCTAAGAAGTTCCAGGCTTATTCCATGGTTAACAATCTGAAAGAAACCCCATTCAGCGGAAGCTTTACATATTTCTGACGCACAAGAAACGCTCTCTTCTTCATTCATGCTCCACAACCCACCAAGATCCACAAGGGGAAGGTCACATTCTTCCATCTCCTGTTCGTAATTAATGCGTTGCTTTGTTTCAACCGAATCACGAGACCCTTGTAGAAGTTGAGTATAGTCATGGAGGAGAGGTGGATTATGATTGGACTCTATCATTTTCACACAAAATCTCAGGTGCACGAATGTTTTGTATGTTTAATAAACAAAGAGGACTTATACAAGTATAGGACCAGAATGGGGGTTTTTATAGTTATAGTTTCCGAGAAACTCCAAGAAGAAAACAACAAAAGGGTGAATGTAAAATGCTCTTCTAATAATTTATAAAGATCGAGAAAATGCAGAAACGACAAAGAGGGAAAGCATCCTAAACGTGACAAATGTCAAACTGCTGCAGTCTTGGAATTATATTGGGCCAAAAAGGACCAAGTCTAACAGGGGGGTTACAGAAGATCAAATATTTAGCACCGAATAATGTTAAAGAATATGTTTTCTGGTGGGAATGGGCGCATAAAGCCATAAAGGAAACTGGAATAGCTCCATAGATCAGAGCTACGACTATCAATGAAAGAAGAAAAAGGGTCTCAGTCACATGGTGAAATCAGCATAGTACAATAAAAAATGGGCCAACTAAGTAACATGAAGTAACTTTACTATAGGTGGTAAAAATCCAAAAAAGACCTTACTAAAAGCTGAAAATTTTGAGTGAAAATAAACATGGGTGCAACAAGGTTTGAGAATCCAAACCTTGAGTTAACTTAAGATCAATGTCTGTTAATAATAATGATCCAGTCTAATCTGAGAAACTAGTCTAACCTCGGAATTTATATAATCAACAAAGTATTCAAAAGTATAAAAGATTAAGTATGAACAATATAAAGTAATTTAAGAACAAGAAGAATGTTTGAGAGAATGATTGAGTTATTGGTTGATGTGAAAAAAGTGTGCGCCACATTTGATATATAAGAGACTACTCCTTAAATAGACTACGAGTAACTAGAAGACAAATGAAGAAAAGTAAGCGTCGACTGTAAGACTTCTAAAGATCAACAACGTTGTTGTTGATATTGTCTCATGTAAATGCGACAATGGGAACAAAACAAAATAGTTATTGTAGCAATTAATTCACATGACAGACTCAAAAATCGATTAACTCCAAGATGCATCTTAGACTGATCTTTTACTTCGGAATAGTCTGCACTTCGGAATTCATCACCTCGAACATGCTCTACTTCGGATTGTTTAAGGATCACTTTTCATGTTCTAACAATTTCCTCCTAAGTGACCTTATCAATCATCAAATTGATCACTTAGCTTCATCAAGCATAAACAAGTAAGTGCTCTGGAGCTAGCTTCGGACTTCGATGTAACATTGGAGATGCTTAATAAATTTCTTTTTGATGGGCTTGAAAGACTAACTCTTAGCAGCATTTGAAATGAACTTCGGAAGAATCTTGGTAGGAATGAGATGTTTGTCAAGAACTTTGAAAAATTTTCTTTTGATTAGTCTTCTTTTTTAGGTAGATATAAATAAGCTATGGTTCTTCTACTAAGATCTAGGCTTCAGGAAGTTCGGTAGTGATCTTGGCCAAAAAGTTTTCAGTTCCGAAAATATGAGCAAACTCCACATCGATCGACAAAATTTATCGATGTAGTCCTTTAGAAAGCTAATGGCAGAGTTGTAAGCTCTAATGCTAAATTCATTTGTATGGCGATCTCGGAGATGAGCAGCTATAACGAAAATGTCGTTTGGTTTCATTGAGGGAAAATCTGCAATAGTGATGGTGATGGTGGATTCCTTGTTCCGCGATACGAAGTATTTTTATAGAAGATAGTCGAGTTCAAACTTGACTTGGACCTTTCTACCATAGCCAACTATATTGGTAATTCTCTTCCGAGACCACACTTCCTTTTGGGGTCATGCGTTGGTAGAATAAAATGTCTCAATCTCTCACACTCAGTTTGGATAATGATTTAAGGATCATCAGATAGATACAGGGGTGCGGACTTGATATAATAACGTCTATGTAGAGCGATTGGTAGGTCAAGTTGATCACCATCTTATGTTGGAAGATTGAAGTACATAAAGTTCACGAAGAGTATGTCATGAAGAACCCCTTCTCAGAAGAGAGGAGAAATGCTCAACATTGGACTTGGATAGTCTTTAAGTGCTTGAATATGAATGCTTTCTTCCGGTGCTTGCCGGAATTATTCTTTTGACCAGCCCTCTAACTTTTTGAACGAATTCATTGGGCTTTCCGAACCAATGGCTATTTGTTTGCATTATTCAATTTAATGATCAACTTGAGATGAGATAGTGGACATGAATTATTGGCCAGATTGAGTAATGAACAACTTTGACGGAGGAGGAAGCAAAGACTCATTAGGGATCTCATCTAGTTTTTTGATAGGAGAATCTACGTCAATTTTGACAATCCTCGGAGCAGGAATTGGATGAGGCATTGGTGGAATGGCTCGGAAGGCATCAATTGTCATCTTTTTTTAACCTTCTCCATCTTTTGGCTCATTTTGAACACTTCAGACAAGGATAATGGAATAGAGGACCATTTCATTTCTTCTTCTTCCGTAAGGACTTTGGTACGTGGTTTCTTGATAGTTTTTAGTCCAAGAGTTACATAATCCACAAAATCATTTGCATCATTAGTTTTAGAAGTGTCTACTTCCACAACTTCTTTGTTAGAATCTTTATCTCGGAGAGAAAATTCAGAGATTGATCTCCATTGGATTGTTTGCTGATGTCTCTGTTGTTCTCCCACATGCTGTTCTTCCCCTTTTGCATCAGACAGCCTTGCCTCCGATGTAAGCAATGTATTGGACTTGAGCTTGCAAGACTCATTGAAAGCTTATATTGATTTGCTTGGAAAAAAATCATAAGCTTCGACAGTTGGAGCTTGGGCTTTGAGATACGCAAAGGTTTCATCAAGAATGAAAAGCATTTCATCAAACTTATAGTCTGGAACATCCAAATGATGTTGAGTTGCACGAATAACCTTGATAAGTACTTCTTGTATAACCATATTCATTGTGTCTTTGTGGAAAATCACTTTTTCCAACCTCTGAACCTATTTCTCGTGACGAATGTAGGTTTGTTTGATTAGGGTGTTTGTAGCAGAGAAAATATCATCATAAACTTTGAGCATGGTGTTGACGGTAGTAATGTGAGGATCCATGTTGTCTTCCGTAAGGACTTTGGTACGTGGTTTCTTGATAGTTTTTAGTCCAAGAGTTACATAATCCACAAAATCATTTGCATCATTAGTTTTAGAAGTGTCTACTTCCACAACTTCTTTGTTAGAATCTTCATCTCGGAGAGAAAATTCAGAGATTGATCTCCATTGGACTGTTTGCTGATGTCTCTGTTGTTCTCCCACATACTGTTCTTCCCCTTTTGCATCAGACAGCCTTGCCTCCGATGTAAGCAATGTATTGGACTTGAGCTTGCAAGACTCATTGAAAGCTTATATTGATTTGCTTGGAAAAAAATCATAAGCTTCGACAGTTGGAGCTTGGGCTTTGAGATATGCAAAGGTTTCATCAAGAATGAAAAGCATTTCATCAAACTTATAGTCTGGAACATCCAGATGATGTTAAGTTGCACGAATAACCTTGATAAGTACTTCTTGTATAACCATATTCATTGTGTCTTTGTGGGAAATCACTTTTTCCAACCTCTGAACCTATTTCTCGTGACGAATATAGGTTTGTTTGATTAGGGTGTTTGTAGCAGAGAAAATATCATCATAAACTTTGAGCATGGTGTTAACGGTAGTAATGTGAGGATCCATGTTGTCTTTATAGCATGCTTTAGGCTCTTTTAGAGTGTGAATTAGGTGAAGTGAGATAAGATGATTCAACTGATTTGCATGGTCAAGTTCAGATGGAGTGACATCCTTGATCTCGGACATAGATTTGAGTACCAGGTCAAGTTTTGACTTAAGGCCTGCTACTTGCTGAGTGACCTTGCCAACCTCAGAGTATGCTATAGCAACATTATCTCTGAGTTCCAATAAGGCAAAAGGATCCACAATATTTTCATCGGATGATCCAGTGTCCGAAGTGGACGTTTTAGACTTGTGATCAACATATTCTTTGCTCTTGCCATCATCATCTAGCACTTCTTGAATACCAGAATTTTGATGTCCTTCAGATGTGTTTTCTAGAGGAGGAGGAACAACGTTATTTTGCTTAGGTTCAACATTTTCATCTGAAGCTTCCGAGGAAGAAGAGATTCTGAAATAGAAATTAGCTTTGGAGGAAGAAGGCTTCTGAAAAATGTTGAGCGAGGTGCGAAGAGGAAGAAAACCGAAAATTGTGTTGTCATCTTCAAATTGGATTTCTTCCAAGACTTCATCATCAGCAGTTGGGTAAGGAACATTTACAACACTCACAAACTTTGAAGGAGGATCATTTGAGATATTGGTTGGCTTGAGAACATCTCCTATAGCAACAACATTGTCTTGTGGAGGATCATTCATAGTATCAACATGAGTATGAACTTCTGAACTTTGTATAATCTTGATTGCATTGATGAAAGGTTGAAGTTCTTGATGAATTTCTTCATTTGATGGATACACAAAAGGGATGAGACTGCTGATTGCTCTTTAGCGCATCCATGAGTGTGTATTCCACTTGTTCTCTTAATAGCTTCGGATGCAGTGTATGAGCCCTGTCAACAAAATCTGAGCAATACTTGTCAAAAATACTCGATCGTCCTCTACCTGAACTAGGTATCAGACTAGTTGTTGCTTTCAAAATAGGAAGGACGACTCCTATTTTGGAAAGCATGGAATCAGTGACAGGAGCCACTTATTGTGCTTATGTAGAAGAAAAAGGAAGGTTTAAGTTGACTCGTGAGTATGTCCTAAGTGGCTCTAAGGGACTTTGTCCAATACCAACACCACCTTTTTTGAGAAAATAGGTGTAGATTATGTATAGACTCCCCATGTATGTGTATGTGTATATGTGCCCATGCACTTAGTGATTTTGAAACTCCAAAGGGTACTTTAGAAGAGTAGCTGGGTAGGGTAAGCAGAGAACCAAAGTCAGGTCGAATGTCGATTTGTGTATCCTTTTGAGAATATCCACCAACTTTGGTTGTCTTTTTGGCTTTGAATTTAGAAGGGGATGCCTTTTGCTTGGCAATCTGTTTAACTTTACCTTCCGAGGTAGCTGGTATATTCTCTTCCAATGTTGTATCATCCGAGATCGAGGCAGATTGTGTTGGGTTAAACACAACCAAGGTCTCAAGATGGCTTTTAAGATGTGGTGAGTCAGAAGGAATAGTGAATAAAATGTGCTCAGGTAAATGACTTATAGGTCCGAATGCATTTTGACTATGAAACTTATAATTTTTTATAGTATTGAGAGAATAGTATACCTATCGGATGTCAGAGTTGAGTAGAATAGCTTCACGTCTCTCGGAGTACAGCTATTGCAGATTCAGAGTCTAGAATCTTGAACTTGAAATCTCGTTCATTTTCCTTTTGAAAATGAACTTCCTAAAGTCTTGCCACATGACTTCCAGTAGATCGACGATGTTGGCTTTTCCGGTAAAGACGTTGTATACCACATAAATCCGGTCCTTGCTCATGGTGTCTATACCACCATGTTTTTCGGACAGAACCCTAATAATAAAGTGCATTAAGATAGTCCAAAGGCCAGGAACACCTGATTTCTTGAACTCCGTAGCCTTAAACTCGCCAATGTATCCGATTTGGGTCAAGAATGACTAAAACTCTTCAGATGACAATTCCCGCATTCGAAAACCTTTAGAGTTTTTTGCAATGCCAATTTCGATGATTTGGGAGCCACAATAGATGATTAGGAAGCGATTACAGAAAGTGAGATTAAGCTTGAAGAAAAGACTATGGAAGAAAAGCTTTAAGAAGACGATATCCAAAGTGAAAAGTGGGAACAGTTAGGATTCAAAATCCTAATATATGTTGGAATTTTCGGGTCGGTTTGAAGAGTTGAATGATGAAACCCAAAAACCGAAATGGGTTGCATTTAATGCATAATCCAAAAAGGCTTCCTATGTTACAGTTATTATCCAAAGGATTAGACGTTTATTTGATCGAATTTGGAAACTGTTGATTTAGTTTAGGACACTCAGTACTTTAGTACTCAAGCGTTTCAGAGTCAAATCATTATCCAAAGGATTAGACGTTTATTTGATCGAATTTGGAAACCGTTGATTTAGTTTAGGACACTAAGTACTTTAGTACTCAAGCGTTTTAGAGTCAAATCATTCAAAATTTATTTTTTTGATATCTAAATTTTAAAAAATATTTGGAAAAAAATTGCGTGCAATAGGATTTGAACCTATGCCAAATGTTTAGAAGACCTCTGTCTTATCCATTAGACAATGGATGTTTTTCATTGTGATTTTTGAGTAGTTTTACTTTCTAATCTTTATTTGGAAAAATATGAATCTAATATTGTAAGATTTCTGTAAAAAAAAATTCATGAATTGTATATTCAATGATCAATGATGTATTAATTAGAACCAATTAGAATATTTAATAATATATATAAATATAGTAAGATAACAGACTAAAGATATCTTATTATATATAAAGATATCTTATTATAATTTGATAATTCTAAATTTGAATTATTATTATTAATTTATAACTATTAAGTATAAATATAAGTATCTATCTAAGTAAGTATATAATCTAGTTTTTGATCATTCTACATGAAAATTTTGAAAGGATATGGATGAGATGTTATTTTCTTCATTTTTGCTCTTGTCTTCGAATTTCATTTACTAACCAAAAAGTTTCTTAAAAATTAATTAGATTCTATATAGTAAGTCTTTCCTTTTGAAAGTCTTTTTCAAAAATTATATATAAATTTCTATATGATATGAAACTGAGATAGTTACTTTTTAGAAAATTGTAATGATAGGCGAAATGTCTATGTTTTATTCTTCTAAATGTGGGAAAAAAGATAAAACTAAAATAAACCAGATTTTTAATCCAAACTTTAATATTTAAGTTTGAAACTTATTTTATTAACTTATTTTTTAACCAGAAAAATGAGATAGATCTACGAGAAATCTTATTCAGTTAGATATGGTAGATTCAAATGGGGTACAAAAAGAGTTGACTATCGGGTCGTATGAGGTTGGAAAATCTTAAGTACGGTTCTAAGGGAATGAGTCAACCCACCTGTAACGACCAAAATTTCAAGAAAATTTAAACTTTTCAAAAACATGTCAATTCATTAAGTTATTACAAAAAGGTTTTCAATACATTTATTATCAGAGTATTCCCAGGTCCATTTCATAAAACATAAACACGAGGAGCGGTACGATCACGCCTTTGCCTTTCCACAGTCTCCTGAAGAACCTGAAAAACATTAAACCACAACTGTAAGCCCGAAAGCTTAGTGAGATACCCCTAAAATACCAACCACATATACCATACATATAACATGCTATATCATAACGAATCACAGAACAGCCATGCATATCGGGTCTACTATGAGACTGGTCCACCGTATCGGGCCTTCAGTCCACCTGGTCCACCCTCCGAGTCCAGTCATGTCCCTCGAGTCTACAGTGTGGTTGGTCCGGCCGCACCAGGCCTTCAACCCACCCGGTCCACTCTCTAAGTCTACAGTATGACTGGTCCGCCCGCATCGGGCCTTCAGTCGGCTTGGTCCACTCTCCGAGTCTCGGCACGTCTGGTCCGCCCTCGTGGGGCCTACAGCCTATCCGGACCGCTCGCTGGGCCTTCGGAACAACCGGTCCGCCCTGGGTATCTTGGCCTACAGCACGAAGCAGGACGCGCCTCAACCCAACTCCAGTCCATACAACCATGTGCACATAAACATACAATCACATAACAATTCATATTCAGTCAAATCGATCTAGCAGATCACATAACACAACATACTCTAACAGGATACCGACCTAACCGGTCACTAGCATAGCATCATCCTATATACCAGGATACCGACCTTAACCAGGTCTCTAACGAATATCCTAACTACCCGGATGCAAACATATCAAAGCAATAACATAACAACAGATACTTGGATCTCAATCCGATAAAGGGTCGGCCTTGGTGCCTTAGACCCTGTTGATATAGTGAGGATAACTCACCTCGCAACTGCTGACTGAAAGGATAAGATCACGCTACTGAAATCTCCGACCCGAACTCCACCACTGCTAACACCAACACAAAAGCCAACAATTACCAAAATGCCCCTGGAAGTCAACTGGTCAACCATTGGTCAAAGTCAAAGTCAAAGTCTACCCCTGACTGACTCTACTCGCCGAGTCCCCATACACAGAACCTCCTTCAATTTGCGAATTAACTCGCCGAGTCATCCCTTGACTCACCGAGTCACAGCCTTCCCAAAAGAAACTTGGACCCTACGACCAGACTCGCCGAGTCCAAGAACAGACTCACCGAGTCTACGACTATCTTCAACCTACTCGCCGAGTTGTTCTTCCAACTCGCCAGTTCCAGCCATCTTCATCCAACTCGCCGAGTTGTTCTTCCAACTTTCTTCAAGCAACTCGTCGAGTCCACCCATGTGACTTGCCGAGTACCACCGGGTCTGAATCCATACAAGGCTTTCCAAGCCATGCAGATGATCCAAACCATAGATCTACTCCTCCTAAGGCCATCCATCACGTAAAGTGGCAATCTTTACGTGAATCCAAGAAGATCTAGGCATTTTCACTCTAGGGTTTGGGTTTGGGACAAGATAGCTCCATCAATCTCTCAAAGACAGGACCTTTATGCATTCAACCCCTTCTCCATTCCAGATCTGAGGTAGCAACCTCAGATCTAACCTCTAAACTCCAATACATCAAAAGATATGATCTCTAACACCTCCAAAAATGATGAATCTAGATAATAGCAGCTCAAACAATGAAATAATACCTCAAAAGGAAGCTCCAAGAGAAGATTAATCCGAATCCTTGCAAAGCCCTTTGATCCAAGTCCCTTCTCCTTCAAGATTTCTTCAACAAGCACTTCCCCAAGCTCCAAATGCACTCCAATCCTCCACAATCACGTATCTAGGGTTTCTGGACTTCAAGGAGATCAAGGAGGCTGGGAGAGGGTATAATGTCCTTTAAATAGGGCTCATCCTCCGGATTTAGGGTTTTCTCCACTCAGCACCTACTCGTCGAGTCCATCTTTGGACTCGCCGAGTAGGCCACTTAACACGTGATAAAAGTGGCGACCCTACTCGCCGAGTCCACCCATGGACTCGCCGAGTTTCCCTTATACAATTTCACTTTTAGCCCTTCAACTCTACTCTTGATATTCCGGGATGTTACACCACCTATTCCGGTCGGGGAGAACAGGCCATTCGGCATGTCTATTGTACTGTTCCATTTGATCTTTTAGGTCCCGACTGTACCTCGACGGTTAAGATAGTCCTAAAAGAAATTACCGTTAAGATAATCATGAAAGAAACATTTCATAGTCATAACTTAAATGATAACCTTAAA